TTCAGGCACGCGATCATCATTCAGATGCAACGCCCACATCCGAAGCAGAGTTGACGAGATCGAGTCTAAGGGCACTGCCGAGGCGGGTTCGGTTAACGAATAAATTCGAGAACCTGCGGGCACAGAATGAGAATAAGGAGAAGAAGGAGGAGAAGCATTCTGGAGAAGCAGCAGCGCAGTCTTTCCTAAAATTGAACTGACCGAGCAACTCCATGGACTCGCCCACTTCTCTCTCTTTGTGAGGTGCTGTAAGGTCTGTCCGGCTTGCACAATGAAGCCTCCAAGCATGTATTGAGCGGAGGTACAAATGAGATAGGTTTAATATGAATGGATTACAATGCAAACCGAATATTTAGCTTTCCCTATCCTCCAATAGATACAGACTAAATAATTTCATTGATGGGGACGAAGTAGGGATTGCAATGGATGGCCTGCCTTAGGCATGAATCGAGTGAATCAGGGAAGATTGCCGAGTGGATCTCTTCCAAGTGAGCAGTGGAGTCCATCCACTCCATCAATCTATCTAGTTAGCAGTTAGGGTTCCAGGCATGGAGCTATTATTCAGGGTTTCACCTCACTAGAGCATCAGGTTTCTCATGTTAGTTTTCTCTACTCATCTTCTAGTTTCTCCTACAACAGTCGCAGGTCTTCTTTAATATTCGTGAATCTTGTCCCAATGTCGTCCGAACATAAGACGGCATCGAGGATCCTGAGCTTCCCAGTTGAAGTGTTACATTTGGTCTTCGAGCTACTTTCGCTGGCTGAACTGCGTGCGCTTAGTCTTGTCAATAAAGAGCTGCGCACTCAAGTTGAGCCATTCCTCTACGAAAACATCCACTGGCTTTGGCAGGAAGCTCCTTCGCCTCCCCCGATCACTCAACTCTTACGCACAATCTCATGCAGGCCACATTTGGCTGCATACATCACAAATGTTTACTTAGACGGCATGCGTATCAGAGGTCGGAATATTGCAAGCTCTCTTTACACTATTCCCATTTCCAATTCCGAGTTGACCGAATACACTGCATTCGTCCAGGGAACTGGAGTACCCTACAGCGACCTCTGGATACGCGAATTACATCAGGGCACTATTGATGCTCTTCTTGCCCTTCTGGTAGCACAGCTTTCGAATCTCAGGAGCTTGTATCTTGGTCCGATTTTCACTAAAGAAAGTCGGTTTGTCGGGATGGTTCTCAACTCAGCCCTATGTAGACCTAAGACGTACGGGCTACCTACCTTTCAACATCTCCGGGATGTGTCTTTCCACCGCGTCGTGGGAGACGACGGCACAAAGCCCAAAGTGACCCCCCGAGATAGAAGCGAGAACACCGCCAATGTCTTACCATTGTTTTATCTTCCGAACGTCCAAAGCATGTCCGTCACTGTCGAAAACCCGGATGAATTCACATGGCCTGCAGCGCACTTACCCGAGCCTTCCAATCTTACCTCGCTTGATTTGACCGCTGTACGGGAAACCTATCTCGGTGACTTGCTGTCAGTCACGCCAAACCTCAAAACCCTTCGCTGGGCCTGGTATTACGACTATGGCGTCGAGGATGACTTCGTTTCGCCTATCGTCAATCTTGAGAGGGTCGCGGCCGCGTTATGTCATGTTCGAAGTACTATAACGGATTTAACAATCACAGCTGATGCCCCAATTGGAGGCAATGAGCAGTTTTATCCCGCTGTCAAGATGGAGGGCTCGCTGCATGCCCTCAATAATTTCGACGAGCTCAAGAGACTTCGGATTCCCCTGGCATTCCTCGTAGGGTTTGTCGAAGACACAACAAAGAGATTGCAGGATGTTGTCCCAAGGAATATCGAATTCTTAGCCATTACGGACGAGTTAGGCCTACAGAATGACGACGGAGATTATAATAGTGATTGGCCGATCTATGAATGGACGGATTCTGCCGTTCTGACCTTGCTTCGGACATGGCTGAGGGATTGGAGATCCTGTACGCCTCATCTTCGTGGAATATCTATCTTGTTTGACTATATAGAGACAAACAGTGGGGAATGGCCCCCAGAATTGAGGCACCAAGTCACGGAGCTAGGTGCTCAAGCTGGAGTCTCCCTCGACTTAGTCGAATGGAAACGCGAGTGGTAAACTTTATCATACATCCAGGGCCACTAGGTCACATGGCTCAAAGCCACCCAAAATTATGACCATTAATCCTTATTTCTTGCTGTTGCTGCTCGTATCAGGAGAGTAGCATAACTGGATCTGGCTCCTCTTCTCTATGCCACCCGCAATCTCACTCAGACTGAACTCTTTGAACTCTTTGTTGGCATCTACGACTTCAATGCCGTACTCCTGAACAAATGTGCTGCATCCGAATTTCTCCTATGAACAGGTCGATTAGCACCCAGCCAACAGAGTTCTAGGAAGGAGCCGAAGGGTAATAATGCATCCACTCACTCCTTTATTATCCGTACAAGGATCAGTCATTTTACCTCCCACAATAGTAGCAACCCTTGGCTTTTGGGAACTTAAAGACTTGCCCGGATGCACCAAGTAGTACAAATGAGCCGCCATTTCCTCACCACACTTGCCCTCATTTTTATGGATTGACTCTTTCCCAAAATCCCTCCGCCAAGTAACCTGACACCGCTCCAGAGCCTTAGCAACAGGGGTATCCGTATAATAATACGAGAACGACTCGCCTTTCTGCGACGAAGCGAGTATGAGTTCGTGATCGAATGCAAGGACCGTCATAGCTTTGCTTCTCTGCCTCTTAGGGATCCCGTAAGCTTCCTGGTTTGTTTGCATCTCATTGTATCCTGTGAGTGCGATCTGCCAAAGCTGCTCATCCTCGATACCATTCGTCTCATCGTTGACTAGTCCCTTGAACTTGAGATGGCTGCTGAAAACCCAATTTCGGATGACCGTTGAGTCCTTTGGATCCACGTTTGGCCAGGTCCTTGCGAAGTTGAGGTCAAGTTTGATGCCTAGGGCTGTGTCACCTTCTTTTGCGTAGTCTTTTTCGCCATCGTTGATGTCGTAGGCTGCGTTAACTAAAGAATTGAATGCGAAGAGGAAGAGTAGGAGGAAATGGGAGAGGCGGGGAATTGGTATCCCTCTTTTAATTTCCTGTTTGGAGGTATCTCGGTCAACGAGGAAACTTGATGGTGAGAGAGGTGTTTTCCTACTTGAAATTTCATGATAATCGGATTTTGAATCAGAACCTTTGAATCTACAAATGCATTTAATCATGGAATTCTAGCAATCCGTGTAGTTTTAAACCACCTACAGTACTTTCGCTACACCTGCCTGTTCTCATCGTAGAAGACTCATCTCTACGCTACAATAGGCTAACTTCTACTGCAGTAGTATAGGCCCCATAGCCATCAAATCTTGCAGAAATTTTTCCACACTAGCAATGTACGATAGCTTGCTTGCTGGGGCTATACAGGGCGGAGTTACTCGGAAGCGTTGTACTTTGGCGCATATCGTAGTAATTGATCATTTCCCGTTGAAACTAGCGCAGGGTCGACCCAGGCAGTGGAATATCTAGGGATGAGCCTCAAATGAGGAAGATTAGGGTTAACTGAATAAGCCATATAATGTAACCATGCCGAGTAGAAGCACTCGAGGCATACGGTAGTAGCTTTTGTCGCAAAGCTTCAACATCCGAGGCTCGATTGGCATTGGAAACCATGAAGAGTTACCTAATCTGAGTCACTACTTTGATCTCCAATCTTAAGGGTCCCATTCATCTTGAGATAATTGACTGTGCTAACCCAGTAATGGTTAATGGATACTTCCAGACACGGCCTCTGAGAGGACAAACGGAGAGACAAATCACTATATCGCAGGGATATTAAATCCACTTTTAAGATTCCCCTACGCTAATAAGTATTTTCTGTAGACGGTGGATCATCAAGAACTGTCTGATAGGGGTTACTTGGACCCTATGCGCTAAGGCAGTTCGCGATAGTAGTGCTGGAATTACAGTCCTTGGCATCCGATGAGATTAGCTGGATGGACATGGAGTCTAGGGCAGCGCTAGTTCAGGAACTGGACTGTCAATAAGAACTAGATTAAACTATCGATTCTGTGTTTTACCTTGTCCGTGGACCCTGAATTGCTATCAAGTGGGACTGCACAAGCTTCGGCCCTGTCAGAGTCGCGGAAATTTTCACCACATGTGGGTTTTAATCTCGGGTCCTTTTCGGGAATACCTCTCCCATGATTCAACCAGTCTAATGTCTAGATACATTGTGCAGAATCGTGCCCTGGACCCTCCGGAAGAAGTTTCCCATTATCTAATCTACCTACAGATTGCTTCAGCGGGTCTCGGGGGGTCTTTTGATGTCTAGTGGGCCCGTGGCATAGCAGACGATTTTTTTTGGCACTCTGTCACTAAATTCGTTGACCTATCTACAGCGTCTATGCATTAGACAATCGTCGATGCTTTCTCCCATGGCCATTAGATGATGCTATATAGTACCTGGTAAGAAAGAGGAAGGACAGGTCTGACAAGATTGGCAAGTTGGAAATCTCTGAAAGTCTGTGGACAGAACTAATGAACTTTACAAGCACCGCAAGAGTACCTGATACTATGTCTTTCCATTGGTAATCTCATATATAGTTGTGTCTCAGTTGAGCAGCTAGCACCAACCCAGCTTGATAGCTTCGAGATCGGTGAACCGAAACAATGACAATGTCCATCGTCCACCAAGCACCCCATCGAACTACTACACTGCACTATACGGCCGGTGGACCTTTGGCTCCTCAGTATATCTCGCCAGACCTTCCAAGATGTGAGGACAGCACCGTAGAAGAGTGGTCTTCCTCTCGTGGTAGAAGATGGGATGTGAAAGTTCACCAGCGCACCATACAACTCGACTAGGTCATGGCCCATGTAATGAGTTATTAGAAGTTCCTTTATGCCCTTTGTAAGTTTTAAATAGTTTGAATATCTGTGAAGTTTCTTTTCTTCTTCTTTTCTTTTCTTCTTTCCCACCCCCTACCCTGCCTAGCTTCTTTATCTGCAATGCGCACGCAACCATGGCATGGCCTAGCGGCCATTGCTACCATCGGCAGTTGCGTTATTGCAAGTCCTCTTGCACCCTGGGAACTGCGTGGAAATGCAAGCATGCCATCTGCACACTTGATGGGCATAAGAAGTACAGACGAATTTGATCCGGCCGAACTTTCTCACATAACAAAGCTGGCTGCTATCGGCGACTCCTATTCGGCCGGAATAGGTGCTGGAAGTCGACTTGGAAATATTGGCGAAGCGCTCAACTCGAAGAGTAGTAAGTTGGTTCCTTGATTTCAAAGCTGTTTTCGAACCGTGAACTGATGGGTCTGTCAAAAATACACAGATTGGGCTTGCAGTCGTTATGATCAGGCGTATCCTGTTCTTGTTAATAATGATGAACGTCTGGGAGATCCAGCAACAAGAACCTTTCAATTCGAATCTTGCTCTGGTGCAGTCATCTCCGATGTCATCAACGACCAGATCCCTAATCTCAATGGGGACCAGCAAGTCATCTTGCTATCAGCCGGTATGGCCAGACGTCGTCTATCTATCTCCCTTTTCTTTCTGCACATCCAACTAACATCTATATTGCCCTAGGCGGTAACGATGCTGAACTCTCCAACATCCTGAATCAGTGCATTTATCAATGGGCCGTATTGAACCCCACCCAGGTCTTAGTAGCCAAGGCCGCTGCTCTTGCCAACTTGGAATATGGTTGGATGGCGGATATCGATTGGGATGCATTGGCCCGTGGCTGCGATGGGCAGTTGGAACATACAAATCGTCTCATTAATGGGGATGCCTTCAGCAAGAGCTTGGACAACGTCATTGCGGCGGCAAAGAAAAAGCTAGGATCAAAGTGAGTACCAGCAATAACCTAATTCAGAAGCTTGATTCTAACTGTAAGGCAGTGGTATGATCTACTACACTGGGTAAGATGCCATGTTGTTTCATCGTCCCCAGCAGTCACTAAGAAGCGTGATGCAGTTATGCCAAATTCTGGGCCGAAGATCTATCACCTGCGTGCGATAAGGTTAGCTGGTCAACCTGGATTCATGTGAGTGAAACCCGATATTTTCTCCAGTAATAGCCAGAGAGATACTGATTGCCCATGACAGAATCTGTACAACCTATTTCAGGATACAGAGACACTGACAAGTGCTCATCGCAAAACAATGAATGATCTTGTGGACTCCGTCAATGAGAAGATTGTTTGTTTTTCCACCCACCCCTTGTCGGGTAAAGCTGATGCTAATTTTCTATTTCTGCAGTCGTCTGCAGTAGAAAGAGCTGGCGCGCAGGTCAAATTTGTCGATTATGACTCTTATGTTGGCTATTTCAACGGCCGATTTTGTGAGGCCGGTGTCGATGAATCGACGTCAGATAGCAACACAAGGTGGGTGCTCAAAGTCCACCATGAATGGAAAATAGCCTAGCCATCGGGTAGACTGACATGACATACAGAGAGGGTCTAATGTTCTACGAGCTAAACACATGGGATCCCCTCGGCTCTAATCCTCACAAACGAAGCCAAGACCGTCCCCTAGAGGGAACGTTTGAGGGGTCTGTGAATGAATATGCGGAGATTACCAAACTCCTCGATCCGGACGCTCAGTTTTCCAAACAGACCTCGGTGTCCGACGATACTACTGATATGACTCTTGTGGAGTCGAAACTATCTCTCAGTGCTGTGTCCGAATCTTCTGATATCGAAGTTCCGAATGTGCTGCCAGACGGGTAAGAAGCTCTTCGCCTTGTTCGTGGAACGTGTTGTTGATGGAATACTGACAACCGAATCAACTTCTCATTCAGATATGGACGTGTTTTCCATCCCCAAATTCAGCTTCATGAGCTTATTGCCAATTTAGTCGTCTATGAGATGACCAACAAGAATGAGTTGGACAATGGGTATCCAGAAATTCCAGAGAAATTCACTTTCGACTCATGCCCTTGGACACCTGCAGACGTCGACGATGACGAATCAATGGATGCAGGAGGCCAACAGATTGCTTTGGCATCGTACATCAATCCATTATCTGATCCCACTGCATGGACTCGGATGATCGACTACCCATCCGACAAGGTGACCGTTCTGGTTGCAAACGTCCTCAACGGACCGGATACGACTGTGGATGAGGATTGGGAGAAGGTCATCTCCCGGGCCAATGCAGCGGGTAAACGAGTTCTCGGCTATGTGCGCACAGGATATCTTGGCCTGAGCCAGGATCAATTCCAGACTCGACTGGGTTCGAGCGGTCTGGCCGACTGGGTCTCACAGATCCAGACCGATGTCGACTTGTGGTACACGTTATACCCTGGCATGATTGGCGGTATATTCTTTGACGAAGGGTGGAACCAATGCGGCGACGACAATGTATATTCAGATCTGTATCGCTTTATTACTGACTATACGAAGCGCATGCACCCGGGCGCCTTTACCGTCCTCAATCCCGGGGCTACAATGCCACAATGCTTCGAGCATAGGTATGTAGTATATACCCTTGCTTGATATTTAAGAAGATTTCGCTAACACTGGTCAACAGCGCCGACACACTCATGACTTTCGAGAACAGCTACGATACATACATGAACAACTACTCACCTAACCCTGACTGGATACCTAGCGATCCGCGGAAGCTCTGGCATATTATCTACAATGTCCCCTCAGACAGTGTGGGCAAGGTTGCAGAGCTGGCCCTGGAGCGCGGAGCTGGCCTGATCCATATCACCAACGACAACCTCCCCAATCCGTACGATACCCTCCCTGATGATGACTACATGCAGGTCATCATGAGCGCCCTTGAAGGTGGCAAGCCGGCCATTTCCAGTCCCACCGCGTATGAAAAGAACGGCCAGTCTGCATCTGCTCCCAGTTCATTAGCAGTGACCGCCTCAGATTACTCCTCCGTGAGTCTGAGCTGGGGAACTAGCTCACCTGCTCCCTATGCGTACTCAATCTATCAGAATGGGAAAGAAGTGGCCCGTCTACCAGGCAGCATGACCAAGGTTACCATCGGCAACATCGATCACGGTACCTCCACTACCTTCACCGTGAAGGCTATCGGGTCTGGGGGGAGCGCGTCGGGTGATTCAAACTCGGTCGAGGCAACGACGCTTGAGTTGCCGGACAACCAGCCCGTCACCAACGTGAAGAGCAGCTCGACCGCTACAAAAACTACGGTCCAGGCCGATATCCTAATTCCCTTTGCTTTCCAACGCGTCTTCTTAACCGACCCGGACACCGCCTGCGAGATGCCGGCGTGGCCCATCAACTACAATCTCGGCAATTACATTTGCACACACTACATGGTTGAGAGTGGAACTCTGTTCAAATACAGTGGTGCCGAATTGCCGGCCGGACAGACCAATTACCCCTGGGCGTGGACCTCGATGGGCACTGTCCCCGTCTCTCGGAGTGGCTACACCTGGACGTGGGAGCTTCCCATCGGATCTGATACTGTCGACACGAATTACTTTGTCGTTGAGGCACAGGGATATGGACCCCTGACCAATGTCTTCCACCCATGCCCCAGTACCTGGGACGATGCCACCCTCAGCAGCGGAGCCTACTGCACGGGCAATTCACCGTACGATTGTAAAGGCGCGACGCTATGCAGTACTTTGAATGTCAAGTGGTGCGACAAGGCTGTCAACCAGATGAATCGTGGTTCGACACTCTATACTGCCAACGCAGAGGCCCTCGCGCTGTCTGGTAACTGCTGGGCCAATTGGGAGCAGTTCGGCTGCTCGGTGAAGATCCGTGGCAAGGACGAGAACGGAAAGGACTGTACAATTACCGGCGATGAGATGTGGGAGGCCTATCAAGATATCCGCAAGATTGGCGGATGCAAAAAGTGTGGCAGCAAGCACTTTGGGAATGGCTGTCTGGTCAGCGTAGATTACTATTATGGATGTGATAATCGGGATTCTGGAGTAAACGCGATAGACGTTTGAAAAGCCGGAGTTGGTATAATAGGATTTGCTTGAATACATGCAGCATATAGATTTACATACAATTGACTTTTGATGTTCTACCTTATACTGTGGATATTTATGAATTGAACACTTCAAATAGTGCCAGGCTAGGCAGGCACGTATCAATTGTGACAATAGCCAACATTTGGTGAATAGCTGCTTCCTAGTACTCAGGAAAGTGTCAAGTCAATGGCCCACAACCAGCTCGTAAGAGTGCATCACCTGGAGTTTTGCTATATTCATTCACCTCAATCCAGTCTTCTATTGTTGGTTGTTTTCGAAACAGCAATTGACAATGAACACACTATTAATTGAGACAATGGGATTAATTGCACCCATTGCATCTACATGTAAGTGTGCCATGCTCCAGTGATATACCCACGCTACCTCCTCGCTCCATCTTTCGAATTCTCACACCACCATTTGATATCGAATATATCCGAGCCAACAAATCTCAGAACCATTTATTCTTTCCATTACCAGCAAGACCACTGACCAACGATGTGATAGAGAAACAAACAAACGAGCAAACATATTCTCTGTGCTGACACTAAAAGGGCAGGTGAGAGTGACTGTAGTCCTTCTTCACTTCGGGTGATAAAGGTTTACTGATCGATCCGTGGTTCGTTCACAGGGCAAGATAGCCCAAACACAACACGTTCCTTGACCAGGAGTACGGCATCAAATAATAATTAATCAACCAGAAAATGAACTCCTCTCACTCAACAGTATCACTATGACCCAGATAATCACCAGAACCATCAAAAACCATATTCAATTCAAGTATTCCTATCCCCAATACCTCCAAAAGCTACACCTCCACCGCCAACCAAACATACACAACTATAAGATATATACTATCAGAAATGCAACCTCGAGCCGAAGGCGAAGACCAACACGAAAGAGAAAGAGAAAGAGAAGCCCCAAGCACAAGCACAAGCACCACCCCCCGACCTCAAGCTCATTCCAACCCAGACACCACTCCCACCTCCACCACCACGCGCCGTCCGACCCCGTTTCCTTCACACCTCCCAAGACCTATCGTCCCTCACCCAGCGTCCAGCAGAGGAAGCAGAAGAAGAACCCTTCCACCACCACGGCCCGAGCAACTAGCACGACCACTCCCACGTCACCGTCTCGACTCCCCCATCCCAACACGACTCCCCCAAAGAACCTCAACATCCACCACTATAGAACAGCCCGCACCACCACGTACACGCCTCGAACCGATATATGGAGCCCAATCATACGCCTACTGGCTTGGACGACTCGTGACTGTTCTCAACGCCATACTTTACGCAGACTTATTCAATGCGACGGATCCCGTGACAGGAATTCGCCCGCCAAGTGTGTTCTCGCTGACTGTGTCAAGGCATGGGTATTCTCAGCGGGCAGTGGCTCTTGCTGGGTTGGATAGGGGCGTGACGGGGAGATTTAGGAGGGCGTTCATGATGCTGGAGGATGCGTGTAAGACGGAAGACGCGAAGCGGAGTTATAGGGCGTTTGGGTTGGCGTTTGAAAAGGCTCATGGACCTTGTGGTCAGCATTTTAGGGAGCAGTGACCTAGTTGTAGAGTTGGGTTGTTTAGTCCGTTGTTGGTGGAGAGGCCGTGAGGTTGAGAATTGTGTATTAGTATATATGATGCGAGGTGGACTTGCTGCATTTGTGCTAGGGACGGACAGATAGTTACCATCATATCACTATTAATGATCCTTGTCTATTTCATTTAAATATCACACTTTCTTTTCTTCTATTTTGATTTTCCCAGCTATTATACATTTTGTAAGACCCCACCTCACAATCGCATTTCTCCGAATTGGGTGGGTTATATATCATCAGTTTCATAAGAATGTCCCGAGAAGCCAGAACGCCGAGCTGCCGTACCTCTATGCAACGCAAGAAGCCATAACTTTGCTATAATAGTATATTCCTTTTTCAGCCCCGTCAAACCATTTCAGCCAACACCTTTTAAGTGGGGGTTGATGAACCCTCATCTTTATTTGCGGCTCCTTAGGAACGCAGCCACTTGTTCATGCCTCGTCACAAAGAACATGCGTTTGCGATCCGACTTCCATGCCAGAACACCAATCTCCTCAGCATACCGGCATGGGGCCTCGTATTCTGCCAGACTGACAAAGTCCTTGAATAGGAATCCGGACGTAGCCTTGACACGGTCCCGCTCCAGCTGCCAGAGACGAATCTGGTCCACCACGGTGGGCGGGAGGACTGATGGGGGAATTCCGGCTTGGTTCGACGTCGAGCGGGAGACATTGTGCTTGCGCATTTGCGGATGGGCGTGAGTAGAGAGATAGGAGATGATTTGGTCGGCGGTGATGCCCATCTCGACGGCCCGGCGAACGGACTGGCGAGTGATTTTGCCGGTGATGAGGTTAGGGAAGCGGTATTTCAGGGTGGTGAACAAAGCAATCAGGGAGATCTGTAGGGGGGATGAGGTGTATGCGTATACACGGTAGTTGGTTTCGATGATAATGAAGCCCGTGCCCGCTTTGCTGGAGGCTTCGCCGGCAGGACCGGAGAGGGAGCCCAAGAGCGGGTTGCTCAAGGCGCTGGAGTCGGATGTGAGCGTCGTTGCAAGACGGGTGGGGTAGAAACGCGGTGCATCGGGCGATTCTTGATAGACGATACCAAAGTCGGCAAGGTCGGTCAGCATGCGCAGTTGTTTCGAACTGAGGTGATTCTTTTCGTATGATTTTCCGAGTTCGAGACTGCTGAGGAGAAACACGAATGAGAGGACCTCGACACTGTCCATCTTGATGGCGCTGGCGCTCTCGACGTAGAGAATCAATATGTGCCACACCTGCGTGCTGACGTCTTGCAGGACAAAGGCGAAACCATCCTGGGTGATTTCGACACGACGATCTCGGATCTCAACCAGATGACCCGCCTGCAGGAGCTCCTTCACGCCTTTGCTGAGGGTCACTTGGGGAGCTCCCATGCCTCCGGTACCGACCATGTATCCCAGCACTCCTTCCCACTGTCGTCGCGCATATTCATCGAGATCGGATATTGAGACTTCTGAGCCAGCAGGCACGTGTGAGAGGACGCCAAATGATTGTGTCTGGTCGGCGCCGGTGAGGGCATGTCGCAAAGAGGTGGCGAACGGGTCGGTGACTTTGTAGGCGCGGACGTTATCCGCTGTGACAGTGTTGGATAGGATATGCAGTCTCCCTAGGATGGAGAGCGCATTGTCGCGTTCTCTGTGTGAGGCTCGCGTTAACCACAATCACCGCGGAGACCCTTCCAGGGTGCTTGCCCAGCACTTACTTCAAGCTTTCTGATTTAACCCAAGCCTCCAGATCCGCCGCGGGGAGCGGATCCTTCAGGTAGAGAAGTGCCATGACAAAGCATTTTGCTAGTCATGCAGTCAGTTGATAAAGCACTGGGATGGTAAATGCACATGCGACACATACCCAGATCAGGCAGCATGCGCCTGAAAATGGCGAGAGCCGTCGATGGCTGCTGGTAAAGTTTGTAAAAGACGGTGCCAGCAAGGCTTTCGAGGTATTCAAAGGGACGAGAAGATGGTGCGGCAGCCATCTTGTCTGCAGGAGTCACCGCTGCAGCATGATGCGGCGGGAAAGAAATGGGGCGTTGTAGCTGAAGCCAAAGAAAGAAGAAACCAACCAACGCCTGGGATTTGAAAGTTGGAGACGATCGGCCCCAAAGCGGAGCTGCTCCGGTGCGCCAAACACGCCCCAAGCGCAATCAATCGGCCGCCGCGATGATCTCACTTTAAACAATCATCTATCTATCTATCTATCTACTTTGTAAGAAGCTGCCCTCTCACCTCTGCCCCAATTTCATTTCCGTGAAAAAATGACTGCCTTGCGTTTTGTCCGCTCTGTGAGTTAGTTACCTACCTAGTGTTATACTACACTGAGAAATTATACCTGTACTAACAATATATATTTGCAGGTTTGGGAGTCCTTTCGGGCTAATTCGGGGCTAGAGCCTCGGTAAGTCATAGAAGCAGACTGCTTTATTCATTGCCTGTTCTGGGTTCAGCTTACTGACTGGACCTCAATGGAATTGTTGATCTAGTCTGCTAGACAATGTAAGTTTTATGCCGGGATGACACAACCAGCGGCATCCAGAATTATCCTCAATGGATTCATGTTCAGCTGAGGCTTCACTCCAAATCGGTCCCGGGGACACCCGTTGATACCGGCTAAATGCTTCGGAATTCTATACTAACAATGATTCCTATCGCGCCCAGCTTCGTGTGACTGCTGCCAAACCTGGGTTGGTCAATTTTGAGCTCGATATTAAGAAGGAGCACACGGTAAGCCAGAATCCTGACACTGTTTACTTGGTGACTGACAATAACCAGAACCGCCTGAACATCCTCCATGGCGGCACCATTGCGAGCATGGGTAGGCCACACACACATGCAAACACCGTCTCTCACTGAAAACGCCTCTGCTAACACCCAATGACACAAAGTGGACCTTGGTGGCTCCCTAGCTGTCGCTTCCCGTGGTCTGTTCGCGACCGGTGTCTCGACCGACCTGAATGGTGAGCAGACAGCAACTCCTACTTTACCCGAAGACTTCTAACAAATCATACAGTGACGTACCTCAGCTCTGGTGGCAAAGTAGGAGACAAGATCCTAGCGGTATGTTTTAATGCCCTCTCTTTTCGTAGTCATGACCAAAAGAAGGAAAAGCATGTACAGGCTAACCCGCTGCATGTGTAACAGGAAGTCAGCTGTGACAAATGTACGTTTCCTGAACCCACTTGAAAGGCTGCATATACTTACAGTCATCTGCAGTTGGCAAGACCCTTGCATACACATCGATTAAATTCGCCAACACTAAGGGTGAAGTTTTCGCCAGGGGAAGCCACACCAAGTCAGTATTCGCATACAAACATATGTCTCTTCACTCACAGAAGGCATTGATGTACTAATATTTTATCAGGTTTGTCGCTCTTGCGTGGAAAGACCCCCAAAATATTGTTGAGGAGATCAAGAAGCTTGAGTCCGAGTCCTCATCATCTTAGGTAGTCATTACGCATGTCTGGTGCGTTTGCTTAGGCGAGCTTATTGTTTGCTAATATAGTAAACACTGGCCTCTTCTTCGGCTGGGCACGATAGAGCACATGGATTAGAATGGAGTATAGAGATTTTTTATGTATATAAAGCGGAACTACATAGCCAATTCTACAGGCTCTTCTTCTATAGTAATACTAATCCTGCTACCAGGCAAATCTACCGACGCACACGAAGTAGCAAAGAAATAGAAAGAAGCCTCATCACAACCATTCAGTCATTCAAATAAAAGCCCAGCCATCCAAGTCCATTCATATATGACTTTTTCCTCAGGAATAGATAAAAATCGGGGTTCTCAATAGTAAAAAAGAAGAGCATGTAGCATGCATACACACATACGGAATGACCGGGCCAGGAGAGAAACAACAAGAAAAACAAGAAACAAATCACGCTTCAGTGAAAGTATGTTCGTGCAAAGGATCATCATCGCCCTCCTCCCCAGCCCCAAGCATGACTTCATCCTCATCCATAACAACCTCCTCATCGCCTCCCACATCCATCTCGTTGTTAACAGCGGTTTCTCCACCCATGGCCTTGAGCTTTGCCTGGGTCATCTCGAAAACGTACTGGCCGAGATGTTCGACGCTTTCCATCGGAGTGCCCTGGACTTCGTCGTCCAGGGAGCGCGCAGACGGGAACATCTCACCGGGGGCAAGCATGAGCTTGTCTGGGCGCTGGAAGAGTAGGTCGAACGCGGGCTTGAGCTCGTAGCATGACTCGAAGACCTCGCGACGACCGAGGATGTACAGACCAAGACGGGCACGGGAGAGTGCAACGGTCAGACGACGGACGTCACGGAGGTAGCCGACGGTGCGGGTTCGGGTGAGGGAAAGAATAACGTCTGGGTTGAGGTACAAATCAGTAAGGTCTCCTTGTACGGGGCGGGTTGTCTCCGTGGAAAAACTTACAGTCGTTTTGTTCACCTTGATACTTGTCCACCGTCGTGACGATCTTGGGCATGCCAAATAGTCCGTTCTTGGCACAGCGGTGATTCAAGACATCCTTGATCAATGCCGTTTGGCCTGCATACGTGGCAAGGATGGATATCTTGGAGGCTGGGTATCCAAGGAGGCGCATGTACTGGTAGATGGCAACGGCATACTCGGCCTCTCCCAGATTCTGGATGAAGTGGGGAGTAGGTTCACGTTCACCGGTGCCCTGGTAGTCAGGCACGTTGATAAATTGATATTCGTACTGGAAACCGGAGTTGGCTTGCTTGAACGCTGGCGCCGTCTCAACGGCAGGCAGGTTTCCAAGTTGCTGATAACGCCACCGGAAGAGTTCCGCAATGCTGGGTCTCGCGCGGCCCTGCTGGTCCAGTGTGATTACAGGAACGCCCAGCCTCACCAACCGGAGGAACAGACTTTGCTCAAAATGGGCGTATTGTCGGAAAGCCATGTTCTGAATGATGGGAGAATTCTGGAGGTGGTCACCGCAAAGGACTACTCGCTTCAGAGGAAGTTCGCCATTCTTCATGTTCTGCAGAGCAGCGGGGATGAAGCTCTCGATCTCCGTGATCTGAGCCGCCTCTTCCATGATCACATTGTCATAGTGGAAGCCGAGATCGGCGATTTCCTGGCGACGCATGGCAGCATGCGTTGATGTCATTGCGATAATTCTTGCCTCCTTCACAAGTAGATAGTTGGCCTTATCCTTGGGCTGACGCAGGATTTCGAATGGACGGATGTCTTCCAGCTCGGAGAAGATTTTGTCAATGTGCCGCTGGCATCCCTCAGCCACGTCAAGGAGTGTCTCCTTTGTCGCTGTCGCATCAAAGACAGGTTGAGGCGCATTGGCAAAGTATGTATGGAACGGGAAGGCCGAGATGATCTCTTCGGTCGAAGCGCTTTCACTGCGAGCCTGATCCCAGAACTTGGCCCACGCAGGTTGGATGTAGACTGTGTTGAAATATCCGGCAGTTTCGCACGAATTGCCATGGGCACCTTGTGCTCCAATGGATGCTGCTAGCCGAATGACCTCGCCGAGGAAGTGATTGCGATTCTCAAGGAAAGATTCCACGCGTCCGTACTTGCTGTAGCTGGTTTCGGTCTCCAGCTCCTCTTCACCATGACCGAGACGGAGAAGATGACGTTCGTCAATGTCCAACGCGACAATCTTCTGGAAAAGCTGGTTCAGTGCTTGATTGCTGTGCGCAATAAGTAGCGTGCGTTCATTGGGGAAATCATGATAGATGTTATTGATGATCTGCGTCGCAACATCCGTTTTCCCTGTTCCAGGAGGCCCGACGATAACGGTCAGCCCTGGTTGAGTGCCAGAAGCAATGGCCTCCACCTGCGCTGGGGTGAATCGAACGGTATTAAGTTTGGGCGCGTCAATTGGATACGGGCCTGGGTTGGGTGGCTTGTATGTCGAGACGCGAAGAGATTTGGGTCCTGCTTCTCTCTCGGCCTGTTCCCTCCGTCGCTTCTTCGACGTTTCCGCCGAAGGTGTCTTAGAAGGTTCTTCAACGTACTCAACTACGTACGGGGGACCAAAGCTTGATGCTTCCTCCTTGGATGGTTCTATTGTTGAACCGGGCAAGCTCTCAACGAGATGCTGCCAATCCAAGAATGTGTCCCGGAAATCAACTGACCTCAATCGGTTAGGCAGTTGTGTGTATTGAGCACCAGCTGGATCTCCGTAACCCAAGAAGATATCCTGAATCCAGGAGGGAAGGGTGATATCCGAGACAATGAGTTTCTGCATCGTCTCAAGAATGGACTTGAAGTTATTCTCTCGCCCCTTCCGTCTGGCTACCACGTTGATCAACGGGTATACATCCGGCTTTCCTCGCGTAAGGCCGTCTTTGTCTGCTTTGAAGGCAGCAGAGTCCAAGTTGACCAGTAACTTCCGCACACGCGGCCTATATCTGTGCCCGTTCGCTTGGCCTGACACAGGCTCGCGCAATGGACGACCGTTCTCATCAAGTACTTGCACAACCTCTGCTGTTCTAAGATACTTCAGGCCGGGGGTCTCAGGCTCTCGGAAGCCGGGCTTTCCTGCATCATCTGACTGCACAGCCAACAAGAAAACCACATCATCTGGGCGAAGGGATTCCCACTCCATTCGGATGTGGTCGGCCAGTCTACCTACTTCGATAGCTATTTCAGCCCTGACGAATGCAGGTTTTGCCGAACCGACCTTGGGAGGTGCCACTTCGATGATGGCAGGCTTCGTGATGGGGATGGCCATCCTTGAGAAACCGTCGAAGTTCAATGTCTTGCCGTCCCGGCTTGCACGAGGTTGCATGCGTTTGACGATCGACTCCATATCCTTGCGGATTTGGAAGAATGCCTCTGACCGATAGAGCAAGAAGGAGCGCCACAAGAAGTCACCGGTGCTAAGATACTGAAGGTTTAGCTTAGGAATCGCAAGTGGCCTGGATCCATCGTATGTCTCGTTGCGGAGCAAAGTAGGGTCGTAGAGATTTTCCTCGGTGGGAACAATGCTGAGCTGGGAGGCAGCTTCCTGGAATGTCGTCTTCTTTTCATAAAAAGACAAGAGAACCTCCATGTACAGATGACGATCCGGCGTTATTTGAGACTGTTTCGGATAGTCTGTACGGAAACCAAGATGCGAGCACAAATGTCGAAGCTCAGATTCCTCCAAGGTAGCTAATTGGCCTTCTAGTTCAGAGCGTTGTTCAATCGATCCGTAATTGGAAAGAGCCAAAATCATCAACTTGTCCTTGAAGTACTTCATAGAGGTTCTTTGCAGACGTGCTAACTCCTGGCAGTGGGCATCGTAGATAGCCTGGGGTGACAGAGCTTCCCCGGTGAAGTCATCAATTGCAAATGCGCTGAAATGCTCCAGAAGACCACATAGATCACGGAACAGCGCGCTGTCTGCAGAGCGGTATAGTTGCGACAGGCGGATGACGGACAGGAAGTTGAGGTCTTTCAAGAGCGTGTTCACATAGCGCCTGGTAGGAGGCTGGCTTTCTAGATCCACAAGGAATTCAAGAAGTCGTTCACAGTACCGCAGATTATCCGCCTGCTCTCTTTCGGGCCCATTCAATCTCCGGAAGAAATCCAAAAGCATGGTGTATAGCCACGATCGCTCAAAGCGCATCTTGGCCTTTCCTGCGTCATCTCCTGCATCGTACCGTTTCCCTGCGGCTCTCCATGCTTTTTTCAGTCCCGAACTCCTCGCCAGTAGGCGATCTCTTGCCTCCTCGCTCGATAGGTTGTGCCAGATGGAGATCGAGACCAGTGGTGCACATTCTTTGCGTATCAACGGATTCTCGACGGACTGGAAGGCGCTAATGATGAAAGAAACTATCGACAATCGGGAAGAAGTTCCGAGGGATGGATCGACGCTCATTGAAAGGATACGGTGGAAAAGGTTGGAGAAATCCGCCGGTCGATCGGAGAAGATATCTGATCCTTCATCAGCAATTCAAATCGTCCCAGTAGTGCAAACCATTCACTTACCCCATATCGGTAAATGTTCCCGCTGCTTGACGCTCACAATCAAGGCAAGCAGGAGCACATGGTAGTTCGAGGCATCTTCCGTGTAGGTCGGCCAAAGAAATCTATTCGCGAGTTAGGCATTGTCGACGAGGGGAAGTCCGAAGAAGCATTGCGGGAGATGCGCACTTTTCGAGAATATTGAGATTCTCTAGCGTCAGAAGCGACCGGAAGCTGAAATTCTCAGCCTCGAGGGGATCCCAGAGATCCTTTTTAAGAACATCCTGCTTGACTTTGCGGGCCTTGGAACCGTCCAGCCAGTGGGATTTGGCTAACCGCACCCATGCGCTGTCTTCGCGGAAGTCCTCCACAGTCGGTCTGGAGTCAAGGCCCTGCGCCATTGCCTGACGAGTTTGTAGGCCCATTCCGAGACGTTGGGGAGGATTACTTGAAGGGACTCCGGGGGCGCGGATCCGATTTATCTGCGCAAGTGGTCCGTGGCGGGCGGCGGGATTGGGAAAGCTTCTGGCGCGCGCGTGTCGGTCGATACTGTTAGTCGTTTCCTTAGTTAAACCTCCGGCGGCTAGAACCCGCAGAGCCGCAGCTGCTTGCCTGCTTGCTTGCTTTCTTCCCTTTCCCTCTTTAACACTCGATCCTCCTTTTACCTCTCTACGCTCGCAACGACTTATCAT